GGTGCCTGGCCAGCCTGGGTGAGGGGCTGATGGTTGTTTGCAGGCTGGTCAAGCCCCCCAGTGGGGACCCTCACCCCATGGGGGTGTGGCCAGTCTGGGTGAGGGGCTGATGGCCATTTTCAGTCTGGCCACAGCCGGGCTGGAAGAAGTATCTGGGATTTATTTAACTTCTATAATTGAAACTTTGTTGCCTTGGTCCCACTCAAAGCCTGGGTTGCCCCTGGCAACCCATGTTCCCAGCCCCTCCTTGAGCGGAGGCCAGGGAAGCTGGAAGCAGGTATCTGGGGTTTATTTATCTCCTATAATTGAAACTTAGTTGCCTTTAGCTGAGCTCAGGGCTGGCCAGGGCAGACGGGAAGCTTAGCTTCCTCCATCGCCCCCGCCTCCTGCTTGCTCCAGCTCCGTGGCCACCACCATCATTGTGATGGAGTGAGGGTTAATTTGCATATTACTCTTTTATTAGATAGGATAGAATAAGAAATGTGCTTCAAAATAATAAAATTTAACATTAAGTGCCAGATAGTGTACCTGTCTCATCTCGTGTGCACTCCTAGTCACTCCATCAGGCAGCTATTATTAACCTCCCCTTCTCATATGAGGACACCTTGAAAGGTGAGTAATTGGTCACCTGGCTGATGTAGAGCTAGGAGTGAATCCACGGGATTCATCTCGGCACCCTTTCATAAACTCTGTTGTGCTGCTTTTTTGGAACAAATAGACCTTAATAACAAAATCTTTTACACTGAACATTCAGACGTGCCATGGAGTTTCTCAAAACCGGGTTTTCACATGTATTCATGGAGCTTGTTCTTCAGCTTATTGCTTTTTTTTTTAGTGCTATGTAAAGTTTACAGAGAACTAGAACTTTCTTTCTTTGAATCACTGCTCATGGAATCCAGTAATGAGTCATACCTCCTCTTTTTCCTCCTCGTTATAGAGACCTTCTGCCCCGGGTGCCAGGACCTCCTGGTTTATACCGGGCCTGGCATGTATGGGTAGCTTTTCTTACTCTCAGAAGGGCCCTGGTTCAGATGAAGGTCACATGGTTGGTTGCCTGAGAAGTTTGTCACTGAAATGCCAAGGGGCCTATGGTGGCTGCCCACTAGGTGTCAGCAGTGTAACCCCCAGCGAGCACTCAGGGAAGTCCAATCAGGGAGAACAATTAGTGGATCCAGAGCTACCTGCAGCTTCGCCACTCAGCACAGCGACAGAGAGAGCCAGGAGGAGAGAAGGGGCAGGTGCGAGGCAGCAGCCCTCGCTGGGAGCGGGGAGAGGAGGACCCCTCCTGGCAGGACTCCAGCGATGTCTGGAAGGAGCCTGAGGCATCCTTGTCAATTTTCATTCACAGGACCAAGCCCGTGTGCCATGCCATGCAGTGAGAAACAGCTTTGCGTGAAGAGGGATTTTCCCTTCCCAGATACGCTCCTCACCAGCCAGGTAAAGTCACACAGGTGCTCCCAGGGGAACAGAGCTGCTGAACCACTGTGTGTGAGGCAGAAGCAAGCTGCCTGAACAGAATCTCATCGAGGCCATTTGAGAGCATCTGCACTCGGGACTCAAGGCCGTGGACTGTGCTCGTGTCCTGCTGACCGGCGGACTCCTGTGCTCAGGACCCTTGAGGCAGGGCCCAGTGCGAGGGGCGGGAGGAGGCCCAGCATGGGTTTCCAGGCACCGGGGCCGCTTAGTCCTTGGCAGTGGCTGCTGCTGCTAGTGGCCCTCAAGGGTTCCAAAGCAACGTCTGATTTGAACAAACCCACGGATTCCACGGCCCAGCAGGAGCCTGGGGCTGGGTTTGCTGCTTCGGGCCCGGCTCTGGGTGAGGTCACTGTCTTTGCACTGGACTATGACTACGTGCAAGTCCCCTATGAAGTCACCCTCTGGATCCTTCTAGCTTCCCTCGCAAAAATAGGTGAGTCCCCCCACCTGGGCTGTGCACGTCTCCCACATGAGAGGCTGAGTGTGGCCGTGCCTGGGATGGGCGCCCAGTGGGTGTACTGCGGTGCTGTCATATCAGCTCTGCCCTCGATTCCAGGGGGGCACCAGCTCCGTGCAGCCGTTGGGGCTCAGGCCTGTGTGTTGGCATGTAAAGTGTGCCTTCGGTCCTGGGTTGTTTTGATGTCTCCTCATTTCTGTGTGACAACCATGTGACATTAGTTGGTGCGCAGCAACCTCAAGGTTCTGTGCTTTAAAAATCACTGCAGAGTGAGGCACGCAGACCTCAGGACGATGGCCAATGGGAATTCACGAATCACATAAAGATTCTCTGTAAAACATTCTCCTTTCATTCTTGGTCATGTAGCCAGGGGCTTCAGCAGCAGCTCCCACTGTTAATTCTGTAAACTGGCAGAGAGCAACTCTTAGGTGCCTCGGTGACGGGAATAGGGACACAGGAGATTAGATCTGTAGGTAGAATATAGATCTACACAGGAGCCTAATGCAGCCAGTGGGGCACCCATGCTTTCCTTTGTGAAATAAAGTGAATTCAAGTTGATGGATTAAATGCTAATCAAGGTTCTTTGTGCCAAACCCAATGTGATGGTTTACACTCTGTGACCATTTAATTCCAAATGCCACCCCCTTTCTCCTTCAAACCAGCTACTGAGAGCCAAGGCCAGGTGGCTCAGTTGGTTGAAGCGTCATCCCAGCACCAAAAGGCTGTGGGTTTGATTCTGATCAGAGCACATACCTAGGCTGAAGGTTCTACCTCCAATCAAGTCGAGTATGGGAGACAACTGATCACTGTTTCTCTGCCATCTCTCTCTCTCTCTCTCTCTCTCTCTCTCTCTTCCTCTTTCTCTCTCTCTCTGTCTTACTTCCTCTCTCTCTCAAATCCTCAGGTGATGATTTAAAAAAATTTTTTTAAGAAAACCAGCTTATTCAAAAGTGAAAAACTGATACAAGTATTTCAATTACTTTGTATAACATATCCTTTGCCACGGTTATGAAATTTGTCATTTGAATAGATAAATTGCTTTATTAGAAACTATGGTGCCCATTTATATTAACCACAAGGCTGGGTGGGAAATGGGGTTGAGCCATGAGATCTGCCAGCTAATTCCTTGGCATCAGGACTGTGGGCTCTGTCTCTTCACCTGACCCCGGGGGTGTCGGGGGACAGTGTATTAGTCAGGTGCTCCTTCCTAACTGCCATTCCTTCTGAGCTGGTGAGGCATGGAGACTAAATGGAACTGTTACCCTGAAGAACTCTCGTGTGATTTGTCAAATGGTTAAGTTATACAGAGGGTTTCACATAATCTCTAAGAAGTGCTCACATAAGAATCGCTTTCTAAAGGGGTGATAGGCTCAGCGTAGAGCTGAGGGCCCAGCACCTCTCAGGCAGCCCATGGACTGAGAACATTCAGGGTGGTCCTGGTGGGTTTTAAATGCTCCTTTGTACACACGGGAGGGATGCTGAGGCTGTTCTGGGTCAGGAACTAGATCTGCCCGGGACTGGCTAGTAACTGTGTCTTTCTACATATCAGCTTGTTCGTCTGTGAAACTATTTTTAAAACCTTTTTGGTTCAAATAAGGATTTTATAATATAAAAGAGGCTTATGCTCTATGTCAGTAAACATCGCAATGCAGAAAGGATGTCTTTTATCCAGGTTTGATGTTAGCATAAAGCACAGATTGCTCTTTACAGGTAGCATATGTGCCCAGACTCACTGTCTAGAAGTGTAGAGTGTTGTGTTCTTGATTTTCAAAGGGATATAATTCAACATACTTTAGAAAAAGAAAATAGCTTAAGTAGGTTTTCAGGTGGATCATGCGCATTCAAGTACAATTTTATATTAGCTAGTCTTCCAGAATTCAGATTATTTTTACATTGTACATGAAAAGAAGGCATGTTTATTGAATACATACTAGGTGCCAATTACTGGGCTTGTAGATTTCTATATGGTGGTTCATTCACAAGGGACAGGGATGGAGGCAGTGGGGGGAGACATAAAACTTTAAGGCAAGAAACCAATACAGACTGTCTTAAATTCTACATTATGAAATTTGAGTTAAGATAGAATTAATAATCATTATTATTATTCATTATTTCATTTACCATTCTAGGAGGTCACATTCATTGAGCGCTAGGCAATGTATGGAAATGACCGTGGTCCCTGGCCTCAGGGACTTCGCTTCATGGGGAAGACAGGTGGGTCCAGCGCTGCCTGGCAGGCCTCTGACAGGAAACATCACGACTCTCCCCAGTCCTTCTGATTTCATTATTTATTTATTTATTTATTTAAACATGTTTTTATGGATTTTAGAGAAGAGAAAGGGAGAAGGACAGAGAGAAACATCAACGAGAGAGAGAAACATTGATTGGCTGCCTACTGGGGATGGAGACTGCAAATCCAGGCATGTGTCCTGACAGGGCATCGAACTGGCAACCTCCTGGTGCCCCCCAGAGGATACCCAACCAACTGGGCCACACTGGCCTGGGCTCCCCAATCCTTTTTAAAACACCAACTATGCAAGTTGCAAAGAATGATACTATAGAACAAAAATAATACAAAGTCACCTCAGACTTGTTGTTTATCTTTTATTTCAGTTCCGCTTCTTGTAAGTTTATAGAAGGATGTCCTGAATCATTGGGCAGAATGGAAAGGGGGACTCTCTTTGACTTATAGGTAGGACATTGTTATTTAAGTTTCAGTCCCTGAAACTAAAAATCCTCCAGTGACTGACTCTATTGTTGTCATGAAAGGGAGAAAGCTCTGGAGTGATGGGCAGGCAGCACTGCCTTCCGGGGCCCTGCGTGCAGGCGCCTCCCCCGGGGCTGGGCGGGTGGGGCACGCTGCACTCGGCACAGGGCGCTGGAGCCCAGAAAGCAGGGCCAAACTGGGGCGGCAGAGGCCTAATAACACTGCATATGGGCTCGTCTGCCTCTTTTACATTCAAAAAGTCCAATGTGGTTGAAGTCAGCACTACAAGAAGAAGAGGAGGAGGAAGGGGAGGAGGAGGGAACTGGAGGAGAAAGTTCTCTTCAGAAACAGAGAGAGCAGGATTTTAGAAGGAGACCTTATGCTGGTGTTAAAGCCAGTGGACTAAGTGTGTGGTCTGGGATAATGTCTCTTGACGTGAATGTGCCATGGTATTAACCAGCCTGCTATAGTGAATGGAGAAGTTCAAAGTTATGGTCAGGGAAACACACATGCTCCCTGGATGGCTGACCCTAAAAAATTCCAAAGGAGACATTCAATGGCTTCCCATGGTCTATGGAAGAAAAGCTACACTCCTTAACCTTGAATTCAAGGCCCCCATCATTTGGCTCAAAATCATCAGAGCATCTTTTTCCAATGCTCTTCCCAATTCCCGATTTGCCCCAGCCAGGTGGGTGCCCTCAATGAATCAAGCATATCTGGCTGGGCCATTCCTGTCTCTCTATTTTCTCTTGTCATTCTCCCAGCCTGAAATGTCTTCCATTTCGTCTATGTAAGTCACAAGCATTCTCCAACAGCCTGTTCAGCTTCTACTTACCATGTAACATCTTCTCTCACAAACATGCAGCCTGCTCACCCATTCCCTCACACACGTAATTCTCTCAGCAGGCCGTGGGCCATCTGGGTGGGCGCATTGGCAGGTATAAAGATGTCTACCATTCTGCCTGAGTCTGAGGAGTTCAGAGTTTAGTGGGTGAGGTAAGCATGCACACAGACACAGTAGAAAGGGGTCATTGTTGTCAGACCGGGACATATGACATTTTATAATCATTTGGGGGAAGACATATTATCTCTTTTTGGAAGAGATCAGGAAAAGCTTAACCTCAAAGATTGAGCAGGACCAGAAAAATTTGAATGAAAGACAATTCAGGCAGCAACAACAGGGTAGGAAGATGAGAGGGGCCACAGGGTGCAAAGGTGTGTGGCTGGCTGTGGGGCGTTGATTCAGAGAGACCCCCAGGGTGACGTGCTACGCTCTGGCTGCCCATCCTGTCTGCTGGCACTCAATGTGCATTTAGTTGTATACTTACACATTTTCTTGTTTTTTTCTTCTTATTTGTTAATGTCTTATTTCTAAAATGTTGTCAACAGTTGGAATTGTAGAAAATATGTTTGGTCCTCCACCCCCCAGTACTTCCCCGTGGGTGGTTAGCAGGGATGCTTAACAAAAACCCTCAGTTTCAAATCCATGAGATGTGTGTGTACCTTCACAGTCCCAGGTGGGGAATGGGGCCTCAGATACATGTGGTGTAAGGAAGTCCTCTGGCAGCAGGAGGGGGTGAGCTGGCGGTTTGAGGGTGAGAAAGACGTTTAGGAGGACAAGGCAGTAATTAGAGAAGAAAGGGGCAGTCCTGAGCAAAGGCGGTGGCTGTGGGATTGGAGAGAAGGGGATGGGCTGCAGGGGCAGCTAAAGAGAGATGTTACTGATGAAATAGGCATCTGATTAAATAAAGGGGCAAAAGTAATGGGGGGTCATGAGAATGCGACTTGATTTCCCCTTAAGTGACTGACTGAATGGCAATGTCATGGATTAAATAAGGGGGAAAATAAAGAACTTTTAAGTTTTGTTTCTTTGTTTGGTGGAGAGGGAAGTGAGATGAGGTCAGTTTGGAACAAGCTGAGGTTCAGGCGACAGAAAAGACTCTGCATGAGCCTTAAAGGCGGTTTTGCGTGAGCACAGACAGGTCCACCCACTTCTCTCCTCTTCTCTCCAGTGCTCAGTCCTGTAAAATGGGGGAGCAGGAAGGAGGAAGGGGGACTGCTGCCTAGAACACTGATTTCGCAGCCCGTGCTGGGCTGGCATGTGAAGCACGTGGTCCTGTGTCAGCCCCACCGCGCCCAGGTCCTGCCGCACAGAGAGCGCGGCCAGCTGGCCCCGGAGCCCTCTGCGTGGCTTTAGAGCCCTTGCACGCGTCTCGGTAGCAAACAGCTAACTGTGGCCTCTGCTCTTGCCCAGGCTTCCACCTCCACCACCGGCTGCCAGGCCTCATGCCGGAAAGCTGCCTGCTCATCATTGTGGGGGCTCTGGTGGGGGCCATCATTTTTGGCACCGACCACAAATCGCCTCCTGTCATGGACTCCAACATCTACTTCCTGTACCTCCTCCCTCCCATTGTCCTGGAGAGCGGCTACTTCATGCCCACTCGGCCCTTCTTTGAGAACATTGGCTCCATCCTGTGGTGGGCTGGCCTGGGGGCCCTGGTCAACGCCATGGGCATCGGCCTCTCCCTCTACCTCATCTGCCAGATCAAGGCCTTTGGCCTCAGCGACGTCAACCTGCTTCAGAACCTGCTGTTCGGCAGCCTGATCTCTGCCGTGGACCCGGTGGCCGTGCTGGCTGTGTTCGAGGAGGCGCGTGTGAACGAGCCGCTGTACATGATGATCTTCGGGGAGGCCCTCCTCAATGACGGCATCAGTGTGGTGAGATGGCCGGGGCACGTCCCCGGAGCGGGGGCTCTGGTGGGCAGGCGACAGGAGACTGTGTCCAGGGCTAATGGAGAGGGCTGAGCAGGCCTGAGCCAGGGCAGGGCAGAGATGGGCTTTGGTCAATGCAGGTGGCCCAAGTTTAGGTGACATTCCTTAGGATAATTGCTCACTAACACTGGTTGCCATTCAGTTCCCAACTAGCTTCTTTTTTATTTTTTAATATATTTTTATTGATTTCAGAGAAGAAGGAAAAGGGAGAGAGATAGAAACATCAATGATGAAAGAGAATCATTGATCAGCTGCCTCCTGCTTGCCCCCCACTGGGGATCTAGCCTGCAGCCCAGGCATGTGCCCTTGACCAGAAATCAAACCATGACCTCCTGGTTCATACAAGTTGGGCCCAACTAGCTTCTTTAAAGAGCGGAAAAGGAGAGAGAACAAATCATTCTGTAGTTAAACTCAGTGTATCACTTTGCAAACAGAAACTTGCTACAGGCTCTTCTGGGATTGCTCACCACAGGCTCACCGCAGGCTCTGTGTGCTGAGGGCCTTGTCACGCTGCATGAGATGTGACGGTGATGAGAGGTGACGGGGGCTGTGAATACGTGTTCCTTACGTGTCAGTCTGGACTGCATGACACTTGGAAAATGTGAAAGCTGGGCTTTGCTTAGGAGCCCTTCGAGCGGAGCCGAGAAGGACTGAAGGCTAGCTCATGCATCGAGGCCCAGAGATGGCCGTGGCTGCGGGTGCTAGAATATTCCGGACTAGCCCTCCCATTGCTCAGTCTCATTACATTGCTGAAAACTTTCACCAGTTGTTAGTCTGAGATGTTGGTGTATACTTTGATACACTTTGCTTATTTTAAAAGTTATAGCACATCACATAAGTAAAACTAGAATCCATTTTCAGTGTGAAAAGTCAAACCATACAAATTATACAGCAAAAGGCACCAAGCCTCCAGTGCCCTCTTCTCGCCCTTGATGAGACAACCCAATACACGTGTAGATACATGTTATCTTACATGCATTGGGTAAGATTATGTTGTATTTTTGCTTTCACAGGTTCTAGGAAGTGACATTTCTGGGTTAAAAAGTAGGTACATTAAAAATTTTAAAAGATGCTGCTGTTTTAATCACCACCTCTTTATCTGATTGATGAGGGAGGGACCCCACTCCTGTCAGGGAGTGGCAGGTAATCCTGGCCAGATGAGCTCAATAAAGCCCGGGAGGAGGGTGCGCACACACGCAGGGCCACGGGCACATGCAGGGCCATGGGCACACATGCATGGTCACAGGCACACACACAAGGCCACAGGCACACACACATGGTCACAGGCACACACGCATAGTCATAGGCACACACGCAAGGCCACAGGCACACACACATGGTCACAGACACACACGCATGGTCACAGAGCACACACGCAGGGCTACAGGCACACACACATGGTCACAGACACACATGCATGGTCACAGGCACACACGCAGGGCCACAGAGCACACACGCAGGGCTACAGGCACACACACATGGTCACAGGCACACACGCATGGTCATAGGCACACACGCAAGGCCACAGGGCACACACACATGGCCACAGGCACACACGCAGGGCCACAGGGCACACACGCAGGGCCACAGGGCACACACGCAGGGCTACAAGCACACACACATGGTCACAGGCACACACGCAAGGCCACAGGGCACACACACATGGTCACAGGCACACATGCAGGGCCACAGGCACACACGCAGGGCCAGGGCACACACGCAGGGCTACAGGCACACACACATGGTCACAGGCACACACACACGGTCATAGGCACACACACATGGTCACAGGCACACACACACGGTCACAGGCACATAGGCAGGGCCACGGGCACATAGGCAGGGCCACAGTGGGGTGTGAGAGGCAGGCTGAGTAGTGCTGAGAAGAGGGAGCCTCCTGGCTCTCATGGATGATGAGGTTGGTTGTTTGAAGAAGTCCACCAGCTGGCGGGGGCTGGAACCCACTACTCAGGGAGACACAGGAGCTGTGCCTGGTCCCCTTGATAGGAAGGTTATTGCTGGGGAATCTCATCCACAGGGTTAGAGCGGGGAGGGCCTTGCAGTTACCCACTTGAGGCCCTCCCTGTTTTAGCACCTGTCAAGGCAGAATGCAATATGGGGCGTTAATGTTAGCTCTTACCCCATGGCTGCAAATGTTTCTCAGAAAGACTCTGTGGGCTTATATTCCTGCAGACAGTGCCCTGAGCATGTCTCCTGGTGTCGCATCAACAAGGGCATGTTTTCTTCATGCATCCCAGCCTATGAGCAGAGGTGCCCCTGCCAGCATGCGCCTGCAGGGCGTGCAGCACCTTTCCAGTGGCTGTGGGTCATTAATTCGCCTGCGGGGCGTGCAGCACCTTCCCGGTGGCTGTGGGTCATTAATGCGCCTGCGGGGCGTGGCAGCACCTTCCCAGTGGTTGTGGGTCATTAATGCGCCTGCGGGGCTTGCAGCACCTTTCCGGTGGCTGTGGGTCATTAATGCGCCTGCGGGGCGTGGCAGCACCTTCCCAGTGGTTGTGGGTCATTAATGCGCCTGCGGGGCGTGCAGCACCTTCCCAGTGGCTGTGGGTCATTAATGCGCCTGCGGGGCGTGCAGCACCTTTCCAGTGGCCGTGGGTCATAAATGTTTTTCATGCTGCAAACTGGAAGCTTTATTATTTGGGGGTTGCCAGATTTAAAACAATACAGGACACCCAATTAAATTTGAATTTCATAGAAACTACAGATAATTTTTATAAGTATGTCACAAATATTGAGTGTTGTCAATTTTTCTTGGGGACCGCGTATTGTTTTTATATTTAACTAGAGGCCTGGTACTCGAAATTCATGCATGGGGAGGGGTCCCCTCAGCCCAGCCTACACCCTCTCCAATCCGGGACCCCTCAGGGGATGTCCAACTGCCGGCAGTCGGACATCCCCCTCACAATCCAGGACCACTGGTCCCTCACAATCCAAGACTGCTGGCTTCTAACTGCTCACCTGCCTGCCTGCCTGGTCACCCCCAACTGCCCCCCCTGCCAACCTGGTCACCCCCAAATGCCCCCCCACCAGCATGGTTGCCCCTTACTGCCCCCCTGCGGGCCTGGTCACCCCTCACTGGTCCCCCTGCCAGCCTGGTTGCTGCCAACTGCCCCCCCTGCTGGCCTGGTTGCCCCACGAAGCCTGCTGTTCGGTGGTTTGGTCGCCCCTCACTGCCCCAACCCCTCCTGGCCTGGTCACCCCATGCAGCCTTCTGTTCAGTTGTTTGGTCGTCCCTCACTAACCTCCCTGCCGGCTTGGTTGCCCCACTCAGCCTGTTCGGTCATTCGCTTGGTTGTTTCGGATGTGACGGCTCTTGGCTCTTTATATATATAGATTGATTTGTAAGAACTCTTTAAATTATTTACATTTTAAACTCCTCAATATTGCATAAAAATCAAGCATTTTCTCCCATTCTGTTATTTTTTTTAAATTATGGTATCTATTATTCTATACAAGGTTTAAATTTTTATAAGGTCAAATCTAACTAAAGCGTTCCTTCATTGCCTCAGAGTTCCTACCTTGCTTAGCATTGTGCCTAGCCAAAAGACAGGCAGCCATAATGTTTTGTTTTTCCCTTTACACTTACTTATTCACTCATCTGTCACATGGCATTTTATCATGACGACTTGCTTAAAACTACAAAGTGCGGAGGGAACAAAAGCTCTTGAAAAGTAGCCCAAGCTTTGCGGGTGGATTCCGCAAGGAAGGAGGCCCGCCCGTGAAGTGGGAAGAGAATGTATTTATTCATAAGAACAATCTTTAGCCAATGCACAGAGTACCAGAGTCGCCAGCCCGCACCCACTTTCCCGCTGGGCAGGTCCCTGAGAGCCCAGGTGGAGTGCAGCCCTGGGCCCTGGCAGGACTCCTCGGAGGCCCGCCCACCGGGACCGGGCCCAGACTCTCAGGGAGGGAACTTGGGGTCTGTGTGTGCAGCAGGCCCTGAGGTGCTGGCTCACCTGGAGAGGCCTGTGTGGAAGGAGGAGGACCTCCTTGGAGGCACTGCGTCTCTGAGCCCCTGTCCCGCGCCTTCTCCCTCAGGCATTTTCACGCTCTCCATCTTGTTACAATGGAGTGAGTGTCCTTCCTGGGACTTTCCTGCAAGGCCGGTGTGTGTATTTCATAGCGAGTCTCCCGGACGTCATCATCTGTCACTAAGGTCTAAACTCTTTGGGCGCTTCAGTCACTGGAACCCCCTCCACGGGCAACCCCCCGAGTGACAGCCTCCAGCTGTGCTGGGCCGCCATCGAGTAACTTCTCATCTCAGCCTTCCCTCATAAGGGGGGCTCCTGGGGGCCTGCACGCTGTGTCATCGCAGAGGAACCTTTGCCTCCGTGGCCGCCGCCCTGGGCGCCAGCCTCCCTTGGGATCAACACGGACAGCCAGTCGCAGCTGGGCTTCCGTTGCTTTGTTTTTCTAGCAACATCTGTTTGACTTTCCAAAGTTTAATTGCTTCCACTTGGACATTTTTTAAAATGATAATTTACTAGTAAAATGCCCATGGCATCTGCCGAGGGCACTGCCCTGACCTCCAGGGGCCACAGTCCTGGCTCAGGGATTGCCCACACGCCGCTCGGGTCACCCTCGATCGCCCATGGCACAGGAATGTGCAGCGTGTGCTGGGCCCTGCGTTCCTGCGGATGAGCAGCCTGGGCAGATGAGAAAGCAGTGTGGATGCAGCCGGTAGTAATGAGGCCCAGCTGCATGGTGAGCGAAGGCCAGCTTCGCCCTTCCACGGGAGGGAACCTTCTGAGGCCGCGGTCAAAGCATGCCCTTTCCGCAGTGGATCACCCAGGGGTGGCATGGATGGTGGGTGACAGGCGGCACTCTTAGATGTGTGTGCACTAAGAGCTGCCTTCTCACCACCAGAAGGAGCTCCTGCAGAACTGCCCTCATCCTAACAAATCGGGCCTCCAGGCCTCTTGTGC